GACGAGGAATCAATATTCTTATTCTTACCCTTTATAGCTAAATTCATTTCTAATTAATTAAAATGGAGGTCTTATAAATAATGATATTGTTTGTTAGAGTTAAAGTGCCCAAATCAGTCACCCACATGTCTGTTCTCCGATTCTCTCTAACGATCGGTATCGATTGCCACATCTGTTCATTATCCGGCTATTTCCATACCCATTACTTCTTAAAGGCCAAGCCAGATTTAGTTTCAACTGAGTGCAGCCCCCTGAGTGCATGTATTATTGCACTGCTCTGCAAGGGGAGGTCACTTAGTTCGAGTCTGCAGGCTCAACATCGACACTTTCGTGATATTTCCTGAGCCGAAAGAAGAGAAAAGAGCAACAGCGTCTTTTGGGAACCGGTTTCTGAATATTGAACACCCGAGATCGATACCTTGCGCAAAATTAAAAACATTTTCACCTTGCGAACTGCTGGTAGTCTCATATCTAAAGGACATAATCCAAAAGATTTACTTGTAAATTATATATAAATATGTAAATATGTAGCGGCGCAGTCTTCGCTGCAAGACAAAAATTAACTCTTGCTTTCCTGGGCTAGGCTAATCACAAGATTATTGCCACCTTGAGCTGCGCCTAGCTGGATCAATCAACGATCCATCATCGATACAGTATTCTGTCTTCTGTTTCGTTTCTTTTACATGCTTGTGAAACTTTTCAGTGCTGGCTAGTACGTTAGTAGCTTTTAATGGGCATCATAAAAAGACGAAGACAATGTTGGCTTTTAAGTGAGCACCCAGGCAGAGGAATGTAAGCAGGACCTTAATTGCCGATACCGGTTTCATATTATGTAGCGTTTACTGAAGAAGAAGAAGAACTGTTAGCTCAGACTTTCGTTGAACATGTTGTCATTAACAAGCTTCGGTTTCGATTTTAATGTGGAATATTCTACGAAATAACTGATCTCTTCGAACAGCACATTCTACATAGAACAAAACACAAGCCTAGCAAAAGTGTGGAAAAAAACAACTATTTTGCATGGAAGGGGTTAAAGGCCGGATTGTCAACTGGTCTACGCTAGCTGATATCTGAATGAAAAGAATATTACCATCTTGCATTCAAGACAGCAGCAAAATCCCTCGCAATAAAAGAAATTTACTGATTTAAAAACTCCCTCCCCCTAGTTTCATAAAAGCCAAGGGATCGCTTCGATGTAAATGTATAAATCAAGGCCGCTCTTTCCTTTACAATTGCATTCAGAACGATCGTGTGCAACATTTCCCCAGCACTTTGCTACCTCAGAACTACAAAGTTCTATCTGCACAGTACCTAGTTTTGAATATTTTGAGTTTCAGATCATCATAAGCTTTTTTAATACAGTTCTTTAAATATCTTGAGAGCGACTCCGAATATTCTACGATTTTGATAGAGCAGATGGAACAGCTGGTTTCTGACCTCATGGTCTTAGTAACTGAAAACAGCCAAATAGAACCTTGTGATTCTGAGGTAGCGGCTTATGTTTACTGGTGTGATAATGACCCTGACGAGACCCTCTACACCTATTTCCCTCCCCGCTATGTAAGATATGTTTGCTGTACACAGTTACGACCTGAAGGCAATTCCATTCACGTCTAAAAAATGTTTCAATACCAAAGACATATACTCTTATGATCTGTTTGTTTACGTTGGATTAAACATTCAGAAAGGAAAGTCACGCCTGGCTGAAGGAAAGGCTAAGTAGTTATACAAACTTCACTCTGTCAAAAGTATTGCTTTCCTTGTGCTAGGCTTGAGCTGTGGGGCTGTATATTATGAAGCGCGTCCTTGCAGTCGTGTTGTTGGAACTCGTTTAAATCGTTACCTTAGAATTACAATGTTCTATCTGACATTTTGGCCATTTTGAGTTACTAAGCCCAAGAGGTCAGAAACAAAGATTTAATGTTCTATCTGCAGAATCAAAAATAGTAAGATTATTCGGAATCGTGATTTTAAAAAATGCTTTTTCAAAGCTACCCCCCCCCCCCCCCCTCAAAGAAAAATACTAAAATATACCTTTCATCGCAGAGAAATCCATTTTAAAGTTTTTATTTAGAAAAAAAATCGAAACGAAGACTCAACGCGTCACCATTTTTAACTTGTCCGATTATAACTTTTTTTTTCTCCATAAATGACGTGGGCTTTTAATATTTCTGAAGCTTCCTTGAAGCCCAGCTGTTCCGCTCTCACAAGATCATTTTAATTACGTCAACGTGTGAATTCAATCAAAACAGCCCTCAAGCTTTCCTCTGACACGTTTTTTTCCTTTCGATTTTTCTTTTGAAAAGGGATCGTCTCTTGTTCGAAATTTGCGAATTTGGATAGATGGTGCCTGAACTGAAAAAAAAAAAAACTACCAAAAAATAGCACGAAGGAGAGGTAGATGGAGAGGGGGTGAGGAAAAGGGTTGAGAAAGAAAGTGAAAAAGTGAGAGAGTGAGAGAGACAGAGAGAGAGATAGAGAGAGAGAGAGAGAGAGAGAGAGAGAGAGAGAGAGAGAGAGAGGAGGGGGGAGGGGAGGGGGGAGTTGTTGCTAGAATGAAAAATAGATAGAGACAGGACAGAGTCAGAAAAAAGAAAGAGAGATACATATAGAACCGATAGATATACAGACAGACAGACAGACACACAGACAGACAGACAGACAGACAGACAGACAGACAGACAGACAGACAGACAGAGCGAGAGAGACAGAACCATAGACAGAAGCAACGACAGTAACAGAGAGAGAGAGCGTCGGAGAGAGATAGAGATAGAGAGAGAGAGAGAGAGAGAGAGAGAGAGAGAGATGGCTGAGAGAGTGAAAGAGGGGGGGGGGGTGGAGAGAAAGGGAGAGAGATAGAGAGAGAGACATACAGACAGACGGACAGATAGGCAGACAGAGAGGGAGAGAGAGAGAGAGAGAGAGAGAGAGAGAGAGAGAGAGAGAGAGAGAGAGAGAGAGAGAGAGGGGGGGAGGGAGAGAGAGAGAGAGAGCGAGAGAGAGAGTTTGAAACAGAGAGACAAAAACAGAATCCACAAGAGGTGCAGAGACAGAGTGAAAAAGTAGAAAACACACAATCCAAGCGACCGTACGTCAACTGCACCACCGACGCACGTATATAATATAGACAGGCTCAAAGACAGACTGACATCAGCCAGCTTACCAGTTCATCCCAACGTGTCTTTCAAAGCTCGTATTCTTAAGGCTTGCACCAGCCATCAGAGCATCCCAAGCCTTTAGAGGCTCCAAAATGGAAGCCTGGGTGACATAAGGCATCATGCAATGTGACAGTTATTGTGAGCAGAGCAGACACCACGTCTCGTGTACATGACAACCCACAACTGGAGGTTTAAAAAAAAATTATTTTCTCTTTTAGATCTAGTAATAAGAGTACACCTTTTTTCACAACATTTTAGTTGCGATGACGTTATTACTTATATTATTATTCCAGTTTTAATAGCTATCATCCATTTTAATTGTCAATGTTATTTTGCTGGCTGTGGTAATGAAGATTATTGTTATTATTGTCTTGGATATTGTGTTACCAGTGTTGCTATAATTTAATATTTCATAAATATTTTGATATTTTAGTCGTAATCATCATCGTTTTTATTTTGTTGTCATTTTTTGTTGGCTTTGATAGTGGTGTTATAAGTGTGTGATTATAGTTAATTCCTGCTGATATTGAACGAGTAGTTGTTTGTGTATCTGACTACTTCACAACCCCCCTCTCTGTTTCTCCCTCTATCTCTGTCTCTCTCTATCCCCCCTCTCTCTCCCTCCCTCTCTCTCTCTCTCTCTACCCTCTCCCTCTATCTATCTCTCTCTCTCTCTCTCTCTCTCTCTCTGTCTCTCTCTCCCACTCTCTCTATACGCCCATCTCTTTGCCTCTGTCTCTTCTAATTTGTTTTCTTTCTAAAACCAACAAGACAAAACACACAAGATCCAGAACACTTAACCCGGAGAACTGCGTGCCGGCGAAGAGGCGTTACACCTCACGCGACTAGCGGCGAGGCCCAACATGCTGAAAGAGCGAGAGAGAGAAAATCCCACCGCCCGATGCCCGCTCGACCAAGGACTTGCTGAAGGAAGAGCCGCTCACTGCTGGAGCACCGTGTGGCATCGACGTGAATAAAAAGTGACATGGGCTTCTCGATACTGACATTTTCGTTAAATCATCAGTTCGATATTTTTTTTTTTCATTGGTCATGTTTTTATTGAATTTTTGTTGTCGTTCAATTTCATTGTAAGTTCATAACTTTCAATAACACACGTAAGCACTTGTGGCATCTACATTGAAGATAGCAGTTTTATGTTCTGCTGAAAGAATGTAAACAATAACAGGGTGATGTTGGTGACTATTGGCAGAAAAGCACAGACTTCAAGGGTGAAAAAGATCAAATGCCAAACTAATTATTCATAAAACCTCATCTGTGGTGTGCCATTTTTGCGCTTCACCGTCGAACGCAGAAGGCGAAAGTTCGATTCCCGTGTGGGCATGTGTTTTATCGAGTAGCTAGCGAGCTATAGAGACATATTCCTCTAAGCCCAGGCTGGCCGTCATAGGCAGGGTCCGAGTAGCCCACCTCCTATATGATCTTAACTGTGTCAGTTGCATTGTCAAACATCGATAAACCTGAAACAATAGTCTCTTACACTCACACTGATTAGTTCGGAATTTGAACATTCTAAACATTCTATTTAGTGTGAACACTCAATTCATCTGGTATAATGAAATGTTAACATGGGAAGTATTTATATCTAAATTGTCACTAGAATTTATCTTTATTCCATTATGAGTTAGTAACAGCGTGCTGTATAGAGTTTAAAAAAGATGTAATTCACTGTGTTTTTAGAACACTGAGTCTTGACTGTATCAAAAAGTTGTTCAGGTAAGGTAAGCTACTCAGTTTAGGACATTTTGATCGCGAAGACCTTTCTCCTTTTTTTTTCAAAGACAGGTCGGAAAAAAATACTGAACCTAATCGATTACATTCGCATCACTATTAATAAGGTGTCACGTTCGATACCTGGGCCAGGAGTCTCCTCGGTTTTGTTCAGTCTCCGTGTCTCGTCCGACGATCCTCGCAAACCTTCGAACAGCGCGATCCGTTCCGCTAAAGGGGGTCTTTTATTTGCTTTGCGACCTATAAATCTACCTCGGTGAGACCGCTGTCATATGGACCTCAGTACCCTTCGCCCTTCGCGTTTCTCGTACCAGCTGGTGAGGCAAAAGCCTTTGCCAGTGGAATTTGCCCGTAGTCTTCTGCTTTTGTTTCGTGGAGTGCAATAGATCTATAGATAATTCTTCTACCTGGACTCGCTGTTTACCGGTCTCTTGAGGAACACTTTTTTCTCCTTTCTGGCTTATGTATGTGTGATACTGGTGTGATGTTATGTTCGTGAAGAAGTAGTGCGATAGTTTATGATTTATGACTGAATTCATTTTCACGTCCGTGTTTACAAAAGCTGATGGCTTTTGGATACAATTTAGGAAGTTATTTTAGACATAAATATTGCTACTTTTTAAACGGCCTTATCTTTTCTAAATTTTTCATGTTCTGTTTTTCATTTTCATTTTGTTTTTATTTGTTTTGTTTTTGTTTTTGTCTTTTTTGTCTTTTTGCTTTTGTTATTTTTATTTCACTATTTATTATCTTTTCCTTTTAGAAATGTTTTTACAGATCTGTTTATCATTTTTCCCTATTGATCATTTATTTGTATTTTATTCTCTCGTATATTTTTTGTAGAGGTGTGAAATCACTTTTGAGACTGTAAATCGATTACACTTATTGACAGCTGATTTGAGGTTTAGTCATAGCTGTAACACACGATAACGGACAGTTTCCTCGGCAGTTTTAAAATTGCTGTTGTCCGACAAATTGATCAGCTGATTCGCCTAAAGCTCAGCCATTTTTCTTTTAAATTTTGCAGTCGTTTTGATCCAAATTAGGACGGTGAAAATTTTGAAACCAGGGCTGATCTTTTTATACCTCTTTCCAGAAGTAGAATCGGCACCTATATGACCTAATGTGTTGCAAGTGCAATAAAATTCTTACTAAAACAAGCCATAGAATTGTAAGTAACACTGCAGTAGTTAACAGTGACTTCAGAACCTACAGTGGTGCTCATGCTGTATTGGTCTACAGTTTACCCCCTGCAAAGATATCGTTTGTTTGCTAATAAAGTAAAAGTGGGCCAGAAAATTCCAGTTAGTCAGTGCAAATGGATGACGCATGTTCTGCACTGTTAATTCTCCTCCTTCTTCTTCTTCTTCTTCTTCTTCTTCTTCTTCTTCTTCTTCTTTTTCTTCTTCTTCTTCTTCTTCTTCTTCTTCTTCTTCTTCTT